ACAATCCCAAAACCTCTGCTGGAAAGGGAAAGTAGTCCATGAAACACTAAGGAAAGTCTTTAGACTAGGAAGCAGGTGAGACAGCCCCTAACAAAGTCATTCTTTTTTAATTAAAATGCTTGGCAATTTAAAATAACAATAAAGGAGGCAGCAGCTTCCTACCAGAGATGCACAAAACCCAGCAAACAGACTGGAAGAGGTTGCTACAGGGGAGCTCACAAGGTAATTCAGGGAGCAGGGGCGAGAATTCAAGAGTTTTCCTGAGCCCTCACATTGCTTAGCAATGGAAGAAGGAAGTTATCTTCATAATCTCAGAAGAAAGAGAAAGCAGAAGGAATGCGAGGAATGCGAGGAGGTTATTGCCCCGGAGACCAGCGCTGGCAGCCCCCCGCCCCCAGGAGCTGGAGGGGGGGGCACAGAGCTTTTTGGTTAACAAGGACTTCCTTGGAAAGGGGAAAAAAAAAAAAAAGAAAAAGGAAAAAAAAGGCAAGCAGAACAAAAGCAGGGAATTGAGTCCCGAGGATCGCTCTTTTTTGGAAGGAGGTGAAAGATTTTGCAGCAGACACAGCAGCGCTTTCCAGGGAGTGGTGGGGTCACCAACCATGGTGGTGTTCCAGAACTGTGGGGATGTGGCACTGAGGGATGTGGGGATGAGCACAGTGAGGTGGGTTGGGGCTGGACTTGGACATCTTAGTGGTCCTTTCTAACCTTAATGATCCTACCATTCTGCCATGATTCTCCATCACGGTGCTGCCCAAACCTTCTCTATCAACACACAGCCCTGGCTGCACCCCAGAGACAAACACATTGCCCACACCCAAGACAGCAGCTGCCAGCCCACCCCACCTCCACACACACCAGCACCCTGCTGGGACCCTTCCAGCCTCCATCATTGCCTACCTACACCTCCAAGGAAAAAAAAAAAAAAAAGCCTCATCTGAGACCTTCTCCCACCAGGGTCACCTCACACCCACAGCTCACAGCCCCATTTCAGCCTAAGCATTCCCTGCTCCTAGCCCAGAAGGGATGCACACACAGTGCAGGGAGACACAGCATCCCACAGCACGGCAGCTCTGCCCGGCGCCTCGCTCTGCTGCAGTCTCAGGGAGAATAAAAAGCCTGTTGACATACGAAAGCCACAGAAAATCTCCCTGAAATTACAAAACAGTCCTAAAAACATTGTGCAGGAGGCCTGAGCTGCACAGTGTACACACTCCCATTCAGCCTTTTAAAAAAACAGCTACACGTCTAAGGAAACATCTGATAATTAAGGCGATTTTAACAATAGATAATCATTTGACTATGAATCGTACGGAATGTAACGACTGCTTATTCTGGCAGAAAAAACAGAACTTTCTATGAAGCATCTGCCAAGGAAAACGATACTCCCACTCAGCCCGGACCGCGGTTGCCGGTAACCACACAGTGCACGAGGACACAACGTGCTGCTGTAGCGGAGCAGCCCTGCAAGCTGCCGGAGCGCAGCGCAGCCCCGGCTTCTCTCTGCCCCATCTCCAGCAGTCTCTCTGCTCCCGGGCCGGTGCTCGCACGCTGCCAGCTGCCCCCCGCTGCTCCCAGTTGCTCGATGACATTAAAAGCGGCTAAAAATACATCCAGGGTTTTGCTCATTTGCTTTTCCGAGCTCGCCACAAGGATGTTCTCCAACGGTTTCCTCCCAGCCCATGGACAATAGTTCTATTAATGCACCCCAGGGTGGGAGACAGCAGTCCCGGCTCCATCAGGCAGCCAGGCACACCTGCAGGCAGAGTGTGAGGAGCATGCAGTGCTCCCTGGGGCCAGTCCCTACCCCAGAGCCCCTCAGTGCCCACAGCCCAGCGTTTCCATTGCTCAGGAGGGCACAGCTGGGTGACGCAGTGGTGACAGCACTCAGGTGACAACGGGGCAGCAGGGCACTCCTCCAGCAGATTCAGGCAAGATCCTAAAAGCCCAAAGCTGAGGGGCCAAGTGATTCCTCAGCCACAAGGAAAAGAACCTCTCCCATGCACCACCAGACACACCTATTCCATGAGATTGGATTAAATGAGAAATAGAAGCATCGCTCCTAAGATTGCAGAGCTCTGCCTGCTTGCAGCCACCTAAAAGCCAATGTTTTCCAAATCTGCCTCAAGAACTCCTCTAAAACCTCCACACGAGGAAATGAAGAGATGGGAACACATTACACCTCCACAGGGCTCCCCCAGGTTAACAGATGATACCTTCCACCAATCAGAGAGAGCTTTTTTCCCTTTTAATTGGGGAAAAGAAACACCTCCTTCCTACAGCTCGCAGGAAAAGGGAAGAGATTTCCACGAGTCCAATGCCTTGGATCAAGAAGGAGCCTCAGCTCAAAGGAACGCTGGGTTTTTGGTTTTAAATCACAGCCACACACTGGGATCTCAGGGATGCCACCATCCCCACCACCAATTCACTTCCTATCCAACACCAACAGAGATGCTCTCAATGCCAATCCTCCACACCAGGCAGCTCTAAGTGCAACAGAAGCAAGACCGCACATCACCGTGACACAAAGTATCACAGGGCCATAGGGCAGAAGCTCCTACAGACCTCATTTTAGGAAAATCCCAGCGCGCATTCCTCCTGGATGTATCTCTTTACACTTCCAACACCAGGTTTAAATGAAAGGAAACAATTTCTCTGCTTTCCTTGCTACAAAGAACAGGTTGTACACCTCTCATGGAGCAAGGAGCTGACCAGCTGTGCGCTTCTTTCAGAAATGCCCACTTACATCAGCAAGATATAATTAAAATACATGATATTACCTGCCATTTACATATTCTAAACCTAATCTAAATAAATATTAACTCAAACTCCTAGGTAATTATGCACAAGGAATACCCATTTGATCCAACCAGAACAGCAATGGTGTGGATAAAATAAAAAAAAAATAAAACATCAGCCCATTGCAGCACAATGTTGCACTAACCTGCTGCTCTGGAAGAACATAAATAGGGTGAAATACCCACACGAGATGCCCCCACGTCCTAGAAGGACTCCTGCACCCACCAAGTGAGGACATGTCCCACTTGCTGTCACACAGCTCGTTGCAGAGATGTCTCTGCCCACACTGCTGCATGTTGACAACTCGAGGCCACCAGATCTGTAGGCTGGGTAAGCCCCGCTCTGAGAGCAGAGAAACCCTACAAAAAGCAGTTTGCTACAGCCTGTAGGGCACCTTTCTGGAGACACATGAAGAAGTCTGGCTGTGCACCATGATCTGAAGCAGTTCTGCAGGAGGATGGGAGAGAGCCAAGCAAACCAGCACTGAAACGTAAAGCAGAACCCAACAGAGCTGGGCTCCTTCCCTCACACACATCACCTCAGAGCACATCGCCTTCAGCTGAATCACCCATGGAGACCAAAGGTCTGGCTGATGACTCATTTTTGGAGGCACGATGTGCACTGCAGACCTTCTGTACCCATGTCACACCTCAGCCCCCATGAGGGTCACAGGAGACACCTGGCAGTGCTCACAAATCCCAAAGCAGCAGGATGAGCTGTGAGCACCTCTTCGTTTGCATACAATGGCTGAGGAGCAGCCCAAGGGGGGGGTCAGGAGCCTTTTAACACCACACACACCAAAACCACCACATCTGCAGGGGAATATGAAACTGCAGCAGGTGTTGCACCCCACGCTAGGTTTAACTCCAAGGGCAGCAGCATTCAAGGCACGTTGCACTTTCAAGGAGCACACAGTGCACTGCATTTAGAGCCTTCCACCAAGCCTTTTAACACAGAACTGCAGAGGACCTGTTGCAGCTGCAGTTTTCCCACATCCCCAGCACAGTGACATAACCCAGGTGGTGTGTTCAGCGTGGCACAGCAGAAAGCCCCTTACCTTACCTTGCTCCTCGCACATCTCTGAGCCCTCCTTACAAAAGGTCAGCTTCACGAGCACTGCTACCAGGATCCAACCTGACATCACCCAGAGATCACCTTAAATACCATTCTATGAGATAAGGACTGGGACAAACCTTCCAGACACCGGGGTTGCAAGGAAACGTGCCTATGTGCAGCTCCTCAAATCAAAGATAAACCCATTTATTAGAGACCTTCCCAAAGCAGGGAGGCGGAGAAAGTGTTTTAACTGCAACCGGTCAGACGTTTCTCATTAAAATATTTCTTGGAGAAGTGAACAGGCCCTCAATTTCACTCAGTCACGGGAGAAAAGAGAACCATTAGCCTGCCAATATAAAAGTGCATCCGATTGAAATCATTTCAAGGATAACGCATGCGGAACTGGAGGGAGCGCCAATGCTAAAGATTACCCCCAACTTCTCTATCCGCCATCTAAAGGTATTTACTTGGGGTCTGTCTGTGTTGTGACAGCGTCCCAGACTGAAATGAATGCCTCTAACACTCCACATTTTTGAACCATTCAGTCATGCATTTTTGTTATTGTTAAAAGTAGTGCGAAATTGCAGTGCATGAGCCGGAGTCCTTGGTGGTCTCCGAGGATTCCAGCTAAAAAGGCACTTCCTTTGTTCCGCGGAGAATGCGGTCCAGTAGGTCATTCAGAAGGGGAAATAAAAGCAGCAGCCCTGGGAGGGAGACGAAGGATGAAACAAAAAGAATGAAATGTTTTGGGTGTGAGCACATTAGCTACCATTTCCTACGGCTGCCGGCTGCGAGCACTCCTGTCCCCGGGATGCGCGAGTACCTCGGGATGGGGGGGAAAAAAAAAACAACCAAGGAGGAGGAAAAAAAGAAAAAAAAAAGGAAAGAAAGAAAAAGAAATCATTTCGCTGAGACTTCGCCCGCCTGTACCGGGACGGCTCCGGGGGGGAAACGGCGGCCGCAGCACCGCCTGCGGGAGAGAGCGAGCCGGCAACAGGCGCGGGCCCGGCCCGGCTGAGCTCGGGGAGCCGCACCGGGATCCGGAGCCGCAGCCCGGCAGCGGGAAGGCAGCGCACCCCGCGGAGCCCGGCCCGGCGGAGCGCGGGGCTCCGAGCACAAAGGAGCCGCGATCCTCCCCGACTCACCGCTGATCTCGTGGCTGGGCGCTTCGCTCTGGCTGAAGCCTTTGGCGGCGTAGAGCCTCCGCACTTCGGAGCAACTTTTAGCGCGGGGCTCGGCGGCCAGAAGCAGCGGCAGGCTGAGGGCGGCTAAAGTGCAGACGAGGGACGGCAGGGAGCCCCCCCGCCGCCGCATGGCGCGGGGGGGGGGGGGGGGGCCGCCGGGGCCGCGGCCGGGGGAGCGCGGCCCGAAGCCGGAGCCGGCCCTCCGCCGAGCCCGCGCCGCGCAGGAGCCGCGCCCGCTGCCGTGCACCCCGCTCCTCTCCGCCGCGGCTCCGCTCCGCTGGGCCGTGCGTGCGGCGGCGCTCTGCAAACTTGGCCCGGCAGGAAGCACATGGGGTGGTGGTGGTGGTGGTGGAGGAGGAGGTGGAGGAGGAGGGAGAGGGAGGAGGAGGGAGAGGGAGGCGGGGAGGGCGGCAGCCAAGCAGGATCGCGCAGGGCTGGGACAAGCCTCTGCAGCCCCCGGGAAACTCAGGAGCCGGGATCCACCCGCCCGGAGAGGCGGAGCGGAGCTCGCAGCCCAACCCGCGGCTGCACGCTCGCCCCGAGCGGGAGATCTTCCCCGCCGCCCGGACCCGGGCCGGACCCGCCTCCTCCCAGCGGGGCTGCGGGGACCCTACCTGGCTCCGAGGGGAGGAAATCCCTCGGTGCGGGCTGGAGGCGACCGTTCGTTTTGAACTGGAGCTGGAAATGCTGCGGCTCTGCTCCAGGTTTAATGCATTCACTAAGCCGATGAGTTTTGACATCGCTGTGACAGGTTTGAACGGCGAGCATGAAGCACTCGTCAAAACTGACATTCGTTGGTTGGTTTTCTTTTCGTTATTTTTTATTCCCCCCACTCCTCCCCCCCCCACCGGGGTGCGGTTTCCAAGAGTTTTCTGGAGGAAGGCCTCAGCAGCAGCACCTACATGTGCTGGATGCTCAGCCATGTGCTCACAACCCTGCAAACACACGAGCAGAGCAGCTGGGTGAATGCTGGGGGCAGCCCATGTGTGCACACCTCGTGCTTCAGCCCAGCCCCGCTGCCTGCTGCTGTTCACTGGGAATCACAGAAGTGGTTCCGCAAGAGTGAAAGGCACCATCCTAATTTCAGCAGGCTGCAGTGTTGCTTAAGGGTTTGCTAAAGGCCAGGTGAGGATGGTCCACTACTAAAAGCAGCTCGTTAAGCTGTGTCTCATTAGCCACGTGCTGTGTTGAGGGACACGGTGATGACTGTTGGACTGGAGGATCTTAGAGCTGTTTTAGCCTTAATGATTCAATGGTTCTCTGGCAGAGGATAAGGGATGGGGAGGACTCAGCTCTCCCACGCCACCACCAGGACCCCAGCGCTCCTCAAGTCAAACCAACTGCGGCCCCGCATGTGCCATGGGGCAACACGGGAACCTGTGGCCTTCAGACACCCCCCAGCACATGGTGACCAGAGGTGGAACGCACAGGGTTCCCACTGCTTACAGGAACACAAACCATCCTTCACAAACCTTTCAGCAGTGAGGCCAGCAGCTCCAGGGTGCAACTGGAAATCACCCCGAAAAGTGAGGAAAAGTGAGAGGGCACCACGATGGGGAGGCTGACACAGGTGGAGAAGCTTGAGGACAGTCACCCTGCCATGCACGGGGCCGGTGGGACGAGGCAGGCCTGAAGTTCTCATGAAGTTATAAAGTGTCCCGAGAGAGAATAATCCTCTGGGATGTGGCCCTGCAATGTATGACCGAGTTCTGGTTTTCAAAGTGCTACCTCACCCTCCCAGCCTTTATTTGAAGAGACAATGTGAATTTTAAAGAGAACTCAGCGGGGAGCACTGCATTTTTTATTCCAAAGAGAGAGAGAAAACGAGAGTGAGAAAGTCTGTGGGGTTAGAGACAGCTTTGCCATTTGTTGTTCCCCATAATCCCATACCTCGGCAGGATTTAAGAAACCTCCTGAAAAACACGGAGGGTTTTGTGGACTGCTCCATCAAGTAGTTAAATCAAAGGCTGCAGCAAAACAATGGGAGTGCCTGAAATTTTTCATGAAAAACTTTGTTTAAAAAGAATGGAAAAGTGGCCTCTCTCTCTCTCAAAAAAAAAAGGACATTTTTCACTGGGTTTTTTCTAATTCTGCAGTGTTTCTTCGCTTCTGGCAGAATAAACCTCCCCGACCTCTTCACCCCAAACTTCTTGAATCATTCCCCTTTCCCATTTCTCTCTGTTTCCCAGGAGAAAAGTGAAGGGGAAAACTTCCATTTTAGTTTTAAGAAGATGCTGAGTGGGTTTTCTTCGGGGCAAAAAGTCTCTCTTGCATCTCTTTCCTACCTCCCTCAAGGTCTCCTCCAGCTGTGTCTCCACCACCAGCCTCAGTGTTTCTTTCCCAGCCCCACAAAACCTCATGGCCCCCTGTGATGGAGGCTGTGGACGCAGAGCTGCAGCTCCTGGGGACTCCCTCCTGCAGCACAGGCATCCTGATGGTGGACACCAAGCGTGTCATGGCACAGACAACTTTAAATCCTCTCTGGAGGAATTGGTGCAAACCCTTCACAGGGGTGCAGGAAATGAGCACAAAGCTGTCACCTGGTGTCTGTCACGAGGATGTGGGGATTCTGCTTGTTGCAAAAAGAGGCTCTGCTCTGAATATGGGTTTTGAATGTCAACAGCCTGATATTTTAGGATGAGCAGATCCGGTGTTGGAGCACGGGCTGATGTCTCCATTTCTTTCTATTGCTTATTTTTATCCTGGGACTCCTTCCCCCCATCCAGCACACAGAAACATCCTGCTGTGGCTGCTCAGTGCAGGGTTCTGGGTTTGCCTCTCAGTGCCTTCTGCAGCAGGGATGCCGCACATCGGGTGCATGCTTCCTAGGAGAGTGCAAACCAAAGCAAGCTGGAAAGATACAAGGAGAGTGATGGGGAGCAGGCTGGGTGGTGCAGTGGGGCTGTTCCCATGCTTCACTCAGCATCCCATTCCCAAAACCATTTTCAAGACATGGGGCTCGCTGTACAGAGCTCAAGACCATCTCCATTTTAGGGAATGCAAGCGCTTGTCTCTCCCCCAGCTGCACAAGGATTCAGCTCTGTCCTGTCCCCAGACACCCGTGGAGGAGACTTGGGGACACATTGCTTTGAAGGGCACAGGAATGCACTCATTTGCACAGATTTCCATGCCTGTGCTTCCCAGCTCTCCCCAAAACGACTGTGCAGCAGATGGCTCTGACGCGCAGCGCTCACACCCAGCGGATAAAAATATTCCTCAGCAGATTCCCAGCAAGCTCACGTCACTCAGCGTCTCTCCAGGGCTGGCCACAGCCACTTCTGCTCCTAGGGTCCCCAGGCTGTGTCCCCCCTGTTGCCAGCACAGGGGTGTCCTGCTCCATGTGGCACAGGAGGGTTCCCTGCAGCCCGGTTGGTTGAGAGAGCTACAGAGCTACGGTAGCTGGCCAAGAAAACAGTCAGCAAGGGGAAAAGGACTAAAGATGGGAAGCAGGACTCACTGGGATACAGGTAAATCCACATACGCACTCAGCCAGTAGCACAGCACCCTCAGGGCTTTGCCCACTACCCGTGCAGCCTCCCAGCACCCGGATAACACAGCACCCCTCTGGTGGGCTCACAGAACCCTGGAGTCGGGGAGATTAGGAACTGGAAGACCTAATGCCTGGCAGGACTGAGCTCGAGCTGCGCTGTCCCCTTCTGCTCCCCAAATCCCTCCTCAGTGCAGCCTGTCCCAGCTCCTGGCTCAGTATCTTACAGTACAAAAGCATTTCCTAATGTAAATCAGAATTGGCACTGCCTAAAATTGTGTAATATCCCCACATTACCTGAGCTTGTCCATGCCAGCTATTAAACCCATGCAGTACAGCCAGAATAAGCAGTGTTCTGCTGTGCTCAGCAAGGTCATCCCAGTCCTGCTGGCACTGGGCACCTCCACAGGCCTTCCAGTGGGACAAGCAGCACCCATCCAGGGCTGGAGCTGGAGCTGGAGTACAGAGGTGAAAGTCGGCTCCTTGTGGCCTGCAGATACGAGTGACGCTGTCAGGGTGAGCTCCGCAGCTCCTCATTGCAGCACCCAGCACTTCATCCAGGGACTTTATTTCTCCCAGAGTGCTATTTAAAAAAGAAATTTTCATTCCCCTCCACTCTCACCCCCCTCCCCAGCCCCCATAGTTGAAAGTTTTCAGATGGAAATGTGCAAGTTGGAACTTGCGGGCAGCAAACTGGAGCTTGTGAGGAGAGCAGAGGGAGAAAAAGCAGCGAGATCTGCTCCGAGTGCCAGCAATTGTTTTTATCCTTTCCAGATGAAGGGAAAAGATCGTGTTATTTGTTCAGCGTAAAGTTCCAGATTTTCAGGAATGAAATCTGAGAGCAACATGTCAACATGTCTTGGGAGCTGCAGTGGATGGAGTCCTTTGTGCTCCCGGTGCGCTCAGCGGGTACAAAAAAAAAAAAAGAAAAGCTCCATTCTCACACTCCGAAGTGGTGGCATTAGATATCAGCAAGATAATGGGCCCAGCGCCCGGCTCTGGTGCTGCTCCCAGCAGAACGGCCCCAGGCAGCCGGCTTTGATGTGCTCGTTTATTTGTCTTTTCTTTTCGCAGATGATATTTTTAACCAATATTGCGGTTTGGGCATAGATCGGGGAGAAAGGGGAAAAACTGAGAGTCATTTTATTGCAGTAGGAGGAAGAAAAGGGGGGAAAGAAAGAAAAAAAAAAAAAAAAAAAGGGAAACCGCTCGGCCATTTGTTACCCCGCAGCCGACGTTTCCTGTCGTAAATCACCCAGGAGTGCGGTCACACAGTTGGAGGGACGTGGGACGTCAGCAGCGGTGCCAGGGGCTGTCCAGCACGCAGCCCTGAGGCATTTGCACTTGAATCCACAGGGAAAGAGAGGGAGATGGTGGGGTCAGGGCGGTGGCCGGTGGTGAGGTTCAGCAGGGATGAGTGATGGATGTGTGTGGCGGTGTGGGTGGCCACAGGACCAGCAGCATGCTCCATATGGGATGGGGACAGTGGGAGCAGTGCTGCTCCTTTGATGTGCTGTCTGGTTGTCCCCACTGTGGAAACGCAGGGATGAGGCCAGCATCCTACCTACTGCTGCATCATTGCTTTGCACCCCTTTGGCCCTGATCTGGTCTAAAATGGCAGATCCAGGGATGGCTATTGGTGC